GGTAGAAACTAAATAGCCCAAAACAGATTAGTTTTATTACCAACACCAATAATAAAAATCTGCTAAGTATATATGTATACACACACACACACACACACACACATGTTCAGACACACCCTGCCTTCTTCAACTCTCACATATTCAGTGGAAAATTCACTTCTTCTAAACTTACGGTAACAAATATATACCTAGTTGCTTCAATCATCCCTAAATTAGAATTGTAAGTTTGATAGCTCATATTCTAATCTGGTTTGGATAAGAGTCTAAGAATCCATATTTATCATTTAGTACCACAGTATTTATAAAAAATAAATTAAAATAATAAAATTTATAATAAATAATAAAAACAGGTAAGGTACATTATTTTTACATCTTCTCTTTCTATAGCCAAGGGGCAAAGGTATTTAGGAAAAATAAGAAATCTTTTTGTGTGAACCCTGATACCTTTTGGCATATATGCTTCTATGAAAGTAAGGTGGGAAGTGGAAAAAAACGGGGGTGGAAAGTTAAGTCTGGACTTTCTTTGAAGTTTGGGAACAGAATAGACACGTGGACATGAACTAGTCTTCAAATATGAAATGTGCAAGCTGGTTAAATTCAGTTTGTTTTTTAAAGGTTCGTTGAAAATGAGCATGCAATAATCATTGCTATTATTTGGGGGTTAACACGAAAATGAAATCCCAATTTTATAGAGTGAGCCTAATAGCAGAGGAACTGGAAAATCCTTATCTCACTGGCTAAAAGCAGTGAACTGCTGCTACTGTGTGTATTTTCAAGGAAATACAGAAGCAGAACTCATTAGCTCTTTAAAAATACACACATTTAATGTTGGTCTGTTGTAATTCTAAGTAAAGCAATTCCAAAAATACAAACTGAACATAAGAGAACCACGGTGATAAAATAAGACAGACAGTCACAGTAATTACGTCTAAAGACCGTTCAGCTTGGTAAATCACCTTCCACGTATATTAAAGAATGAGCTACTAAAAATACTGCTGGTGTTTCGTTAGAATAAGGGGACTTAGAGGAAAATGAAATAATATGATACAGATGGAGTGAATAAGGTTACACGGAGTTACATTATCCATTACCCCTAGATATAAACAAACATTCAAAAACCAACACAAACTCTGTGTGTTATTCAAAATATTGCAGCTGCAGGAAAGGCAACTTTAAATTAATAGCTAGGGGAAAAAAATCAAGTTTTGGTGGAGGTAAACAGAAATGACAGTTTTTAATTTGCACTTTTGTAAAGCTCATTTATACCTGGACAACCAGGAACCAAATGCAGGACGAGGAAGTTCTCTGCTTCTTTTGGCTACAATGTGCCAAGAAACAATCATCTTTTGAAGATGTTTAAAGAAATAAAGCAACTTTCTTTATAAACAGTCAAATAAGCAATTAATGGAATAAATAAGTACTAACCCACAGTTTTATCAATCTGTAATTATACTTTTTTTTTTTCCATTTTGGTGGCAATACCCCAATTTTTAGGCTAAAATCCATCGATTACTTTTAAGAGTAAAATGAACAGCCACCAAAATAAGGATACTCTTCTGTTCACTCTTTGGCTAAAAAAATAAACAAAACAAAAAAGAAACAGAAGACAACTCTAACACTGGTGATAAAAGAGAAAAAATTTACATGTAAAATAAAATTATCAATTTAAATCTTGGTACATTTTATAAAACAAGAGGTAATGTTGTAATAAAACAGCAGTCGCCTCAGCTAGCAACATACTGTTTCTTAACCCTGTGCAATAAAATACTTTGTTCATACTACACTTAAACATAACTAACAATTACTACAGACATTTCAGGAATCTTCACGGGACTCCTACAGACTAACTGTTAAAACCGAGAGACATTTACAATCATAATGTGCCATGAAAATCTGAAAATGGTACTTCGAGTAGGAGATAATATTTGTATTATTTGAATTTGTTTTAGGGTTTGAACAGCTGAGTTACAAGGACTGAAAGTGAAAAAGCAAACTAAAAGCCCATGAACACTTGTTCACACCCTTCATCATCAGAACATACTAAACTTGTTTGACACATTTCTCTTCATACATAGCAAGCAACAGCACCCAATATAAGCCTGAGAAGAAATGCTGCTGTGTAAATACTGCAACTATTCCTGAAAAAAGAATTATGGGATATATACTCCAGAGCTGCCCATTCCCATAATTTGTATTGCATAGGTCACATAATCACACACATATACATACACAGTTGTGTGTATATATATGCACATGCAAAGAATATATTAAGACGACAATGAAGTCTAGTCACAGAGCAATTTACAGGCTCAATATATTTTTTACACTTTGCTTGAAAGAAATTTCAATATTTTACAATCTTTCAGTAGGCATTATATACACTGCACTTTATGAAATCTAAAAGGTATTGAAATAAATTTTTTCCAACATTTGGTAACAAAACAGACAATGTTTCTGAAAATATCTGTGCTATCTACATGATGTGTTTGCTCTTATAACCACTAATCACAAAAACGGACTCAATGGAATATTTAGAAAAATTATCTAACACCATGCATTGGTTCGAATCATTTTTAATGTCCTATTCTAGAAACATTCTACAAACCTTAATATTTAAAAAATTAAGTCTCTGTTCTGATTTTTAAAAGATAGTTTTTTTATGACAAAATCCATAACATTGACAGGTACATGTTAAGGCTCGTATCATCTCCTTTTGTGATTTTATTTTTTGTTTTCTTTTCTTTTTATAAGAAAGATACTAAAAGCCAGACTCCTTTAGGGCTTTGAACTGTACCTACAGAAACAAGAGTGCAGTGAACATAATGTTCAGTCCTACAGTCAGGACGCAGTTGCTCCTTCCCATTCCACAAGATACTGCACCTTTCCATCAAGTGTCACCCGACGAGCCAAAACCCGGTATTTTTCGCCACATGCTATTCTACCTGCAGCACCAAAATAACTGGTAATGGAGTTTTTTAGATGATTAAGTTGTAACTCCTGATCTGCTAAGTTATTTAGAATCTCTGTGTTGAGTTCATCAAATTGATAATCTTCTTTGCCTTCATCATCTTTTACAATTTCTGAATTTTGAGTCTGGAGTGCTCTTCTTGGAAGACGACCTCTCCTCCTTCGCAAATGTGGTATTGCAGCAGGCCAAGACCTTCCTGTGCGTGTTCTTTTTCTGGAGTCAGACACTCTACAAAACAAAAACAGTCCAAATTTCCCACCTTCACTTTTTAAGCTTCCTTGACTCACACAATGTTCTCTGATTTTGGGAGAATCCCTAAGTATAGATACTTGGTTATATACTTATCAACAAAACAAAAAATATGTATGCTGCATAAATAGACCATCACACATCTTCATTAATTTAGGCTCTATCACCTTCTTCTTGGACCTGACCTTTGAAGAGCTTCTCTTATCGTTTAACAATTAAAATTAAAAGAATACAAATTCCCATCAAAAGGTCCTACTCCATAAACATCAGGTCTTGTCAACAGTTCCACCCTTAAAAAGAGTTCATTTAGTCTTTTGATGCAACAAATATTTAATAAGCATCTAGTACACACAAAACATTGTTTCACAGGGTTAAATAGATGGCAGAAATAGAATAAAAGTTCCCTTACTAGTTTTAGGTCTAGTGAATAAATGGAAAAACAAACAAAGTCAAAATACTCTGGGTCTAACTCCAACTCTACTACTACATTACCTGACAAAATTCATATCTAAAATTCAAGAGTTTGAACTAGATGATCTTTTATGGTCTTTTCAGTTCAGAAATTCAATGATTTAAGATCTTATAACAAAGGCAGAATATACAGGGAGCTTCAAAAAGTTCATGAAAAAAACTCCATCTTTTAATTCTATTTTTTCCATGAACTTTTTGTCGCCCCTCATAAAATAACCAAACTCAAATCACATTGGGTTATGTTCTTGGCTATCTTTTTTGTTAAGCAAGTGATCTTGAACTTTCTCATTTGTAAAATGGAAATAACAGGGCCTTTAATAACTCAAAATATCATTTTCAAAATAAAATAATATATGGGAGACGCTTGGCAGTGCATGAAATAGATAAGCAGTAAAATAGTTGTTATTCAAAATTCATTAACAAATGGGTTCCATTTTAAATCTCTATGTAGATGTCTCACATGATTTATAAGTTTCTGAATTATAAATAAGAATACATTACAAAGCAAAGTATAACCCAAAGCTGCTAGGTTGATTCTAACTCATTGTGACTCTAAAGGAGTGAGCAGAACTGACCCTCCTTTGGGTTTCGAAGGCTGTAAATCTTCATGGGAGCAGAAAACCAGGTATCTCTCTAGCAGAGCAGCTGGTGGTTTCAAACTGCAAACCTTGAGATTTGTAGCTCAAAGCTTAACCTAATACACCACCAGAAACCCTTTCCTTCTGAAGAGTTTTTTAAAATAAAATATTATAGAGAAAACGGCTATTGAATAAATCCTGTGCGAAGCATCTTCCAAAAGGAAGGCACTACCTCATTAGAGGCAAAAAAGGCCTAACAGAAGACAGACTATGAAGTCTGGGACACCCCACCCCTTCTCTAAAGACAATTGCCAATTTCAGAACACGTGTGAAAATGTTCATATTTGTATTCTACAGAAACAAAAATAACCAAATGAATATTACCAACTAAGGGATCAACATACCATTGCTTCTCAGAACACACTTTCAATTGCTAAACTAGTACTTATAATTTTATAAAGAAATTTGGAGTCTAGAGAAAATGAAAACATAAAATATCTACCCATAATGCCTAGAAATGCTAGACGAGGTAGTTTCTCTTGTACTGGAAGCACCCGTGAAATCCACATCTGAGGTATTAGATGAATGTGCCATTCCTTCAGTTCTCCTGAGACAAAAGAATTGAAATCATATAACAACTATATTACATAACAGTAGTAATACTAATGCTTCCCCAAAAAAGAAATTTCCTACCAAAGATAAAATAATCTTTATTTACCCCATTGGACAAGGTAAATCCAAGGTAGGGTTCTCTGAAACTGATTCTTTATCCTGAAAAATAAAAAATATACTTGAAGGATGATTCTATAGTAAGCTGAAAAATATTAGCTTCTTGGTAATTTCATGTATTTTTCTTCACTGAGAAAATATACCAATCATCTCTTACCAAAGGTGGCTCAGGAGTTTTTTGAATCATTTTTCTTGTATATGGGCCAGGTGGACGACCTACAGATTTTTTCTTTCCTTTTTTTTCTAAGCCATTGCTTACTTCCCTGAAACATAGAGTCATTTTATGTTAATCTCCAATAAAGAAACCAGACCATGGAAAATACACAGTCACAGGAAACTCTACTTATGTAATTATATAAATGTATTATATATTTATCTTAATGGTAACATAAACAACCATCAAACACAAACAATCTGTAAGTTTAATCGAGTATATACAACTCAAACTAATTTAAATATATCTTTAATATAACTCAGAAAAATACCACCTACAGATTAAAGGGGAAAAAAAGAAAGAAAAAACAAGCAGACAGACAATTATATTAGATGGAAGACTTTCAAACTCCTACAAGGTCAATTATTTAGTTTAGGTTGCAACTACTTGGGAAAGCTTGTTTTCAGAATTTACTGTTAAAATGATTTTAAGTTAAACCATCTCTGAAAACAAATGTCAAATTTCAAACAATAGGAAGGAAGAAAATGCAGCTCTAATAGGAGGGACTGGAAAGGGCAAAGCTAGCATTTCTTATTCAATAATTACTGTGTACCATGTAACAGCTTAGTAACAGATATAAAGATGTTGCTTTTGCTAAGGGAATCATAGTTAGAAAGTGGCAAATGCAAATCCAAGCAGACTAATAAAATAGCCTAAGTAATACAAAAAATGTTATCCAGAAAATTCTATTTGAAATCAATATTATGTAATAAGCTAAAAATAAATGACTGGAAAAGTAAAGAAAGACCTGATGCCTCTGGACACTAATTAAGGTTGACTAATAAAGGTGGAATAACAAGAAAGACAAAGGAAAGCTAGGGAAACTGCAAAACTACAACTAAAACATTTCTCCAGGTTAATAATGGATTGTGTATGATTTTACTGTTTTTGAAAGATGATCAACATAACAATTATAAAGAAACCCTGGCCTCCAAAATACTACTCGCAGACTAAAAAGATCACTCCATACATAGGGCTCAGAATGAAATGAAGGTAGCTTTACAGCAAGTTGAACCTTTAGTGACACCCAAAAGAAATCTGATAGCTACCATCAGAGAAGAATCCTATCAAAATCATAATAGGACTAAAAAAGTTAATGCAAATTTTTTTTCCAATTAGTAAGGTAGGCAATTGCTTACAAAGGATTAGAGTGACAAAACTTGAAAGAGGAATAGTACAGCAACATGAAGGAAAGAAGGCTTAACATACTATCTACTTTGTACTTCAAATGTCTATGAATCACTTGTTAACCTTCCATAATTACATTTTCTTACTCTCCCAAATAATTCCCATTATCTTTTATTTGCCCCTTTCATTTCCCTCAATAAAACTCTGCCTCATATTTCACTGAGTAAATAGAGGTTTGGGGCATTGGAATGCTAACAGCAAAGTTGGTTAACTTCCAACTGCCAAATCTATAAAACAACAGCATCTGTACCTTTCTTCTCCTTTCCCAACCAATTTCTTTTTTTTTTGTTTTGTTTTGTTTTTTATTTTTATTTTTTTTAACATTTTATTAGGGGCTCATACAACTGTTATCCCAATCCATACACACATCAATTGTGTAAAGCGCATTTGTAC